GGATTTTAGTTCAGGTTCTTTAACTTGACTGTTCTAGCTCTACTTGAGAGACCCTAGAAACGGTCCCAAATGCTGAGTGTTGTGGGTTTGTCTACATACAGAGGTTACACCCCATGTAATTATTTTATAATGAGTTTAGCTAATCCAGTGCAATTTTGTCTGGACATTTTTAATATCCGTTTAAAACTAGTGATCTGTGTCTCGCTTGCACTTCTCAATTCACTACTTTAAAAATCATACCCTTCATTCAATGAGTGAGTTCAGCTTTGTGTAGACCAGCCTTAAAATGCTACTCTGAGAGCGCTCTGGTCATCACTGCCTGTAAATAAAACTCTCAAAATCCAATCACCATTCAGGATGCATGAGGCAGCAGAGATTCTGTCCCCGGAGCACTCAATACATTCAAAATCCAGTTTACCTTTACCCCAATTCTGTACTCTGTTTACTGCTGATAATCTAACCCTCTTCGATGTAGGGGCCACACAGGAGTAGCTGCTAGGGTATCCCAAGCTGTCCTTCACATTTTTTGGGAAACATGGCGGACTCCCAGAGCAGCAGCATTAAGACGTCATTGAATAGCCACAACACAGCACTTGAATTAACCAGCATACAGAGAGCTACGGCAAGTTACAGGGCCCCACTTACAGCTGCCACTGAGAGTGGGAGGGTGGTGATGACAGACTAGTGATGGAGCCTGCAGTTGATTTCTTCTGCATTTTGCTTGATCAGTAAGTGGCCTTGTGTAAATTCTTATGCAGTGAGAGGGAGCAAGCATGCAGGAATGCTGTGGGCAGTGAGTCAGCCATCTCGGTCTTTGTCTTCTTACATTTCACTCCATGCACCATTTGTCTGGCCTCAATCTGACAGTCAGTGTTGATCAGATAATGACAGTGTGAACAACACTGGCTAGCCAAGCAGGGATGGAGGCTGATTGGTAGAAGTGTTGAATTTTTAGCTTTGCCTGATCATCTAGAAATTGGATCTTGAAGAGCTTTTTGTGTGGGTTGCGGGAAGGGGTAAGCAGGCTAATTTTATCACTGCTGTTTTGTTTAAATGCATTCTAAACAAACTTTACAGCCCAAGGCCTTGTCCACAGTGCCACTTTACAGTGCTGCAACTTTCTCGCTCAGGGGTGTGGAAACCCGCCCCCCCAGCGCAGCAAGTTACAGTGCTGTAAAGCCCACTGTAAACAGTGCCCCAGCGCTGGGAGCTCCCCTCCTGGAGGTGGAGTACCAGGAGTGCTGGGAGAGTTCTGGCTCGCTCGCACTTCAAAGCACTCCAGCGACAGCGCTTTGAAGTTTGAGTGTAGCCCTGCCCTAAGTGTTCATTCTGGCACAAGTGTTGAGCCATTTAGAGGGCTACAATTAGACTTTTGCATCTGCAGCATCTTGGAGTAACTGGCAGGGGATTGTCTGTTTTTGATCTCTCTGCTGAATGCTAACGTGCTCTCCTTACCTCTGGCCCCAAATATGGAGAGCTGTGTAACCATTTCTCTGCTCCTGGAAACAAAGGATCATCCTGAGCCCCAACATGTTTGCGCTAATCACCGCAGCTTCCTGTCAGCCTGCAGGAAACGGGAGCCACTACCTTCAATAGATGTACAGTGAAAGAATTACATTACGTGATTGAATGGTTCTCCAGCACATCCTCCTTTCTCTTCTCCTTGCTCAATGTTTTAGTGAATTGTCCCACCCTACATGGCAAGCTTGGGCAGATGCAACCAAGTAATCAGTACTTAATGTCCCACTTATCCATAGTCATTTTGGAACTGTTCAGTAACGCAATGGCCTTTGAGAGGACAGTGTGTTTATTGGCTAATTTAGGCAAGCTGATTGTTACACTGAAAGCTCGGTGCTGTTAACACAGAGAGCCTAAACTGCTAAAATAGCAGGTGAATGGATGAGTTAAAGGAATGCAGAAAACCAGGTAAAATAAATACAAAACAAAAATAAACTTACTATATTGGAAACATAATGCTAAATTAACTTTCCCAGGTTAGGCTCCAGGATGAACAGAACAGTAAGTAGGCAGCATTTTCCTCTGGCCTAGGAGTCAGGAAACTGGGTTCTGTTCCTGGTGTGACACTGGGCAAGTCACATCGCCTCTGTTTTATCCTCACACTTTTTGCCCTTATCCTTTTAAAGTGTAAGCGGTTTGGGGCAGAGGGTAGGGTGACCAGATGTCCTGATTTTATAGGGACAGTCCTGATTTTTGGGCCTTTCTTATATAGGCTCCGATTTTTCACGTTTGCTCTCTGGTCACCCTAGCAGGGGGTGTCTTTTCGTGTGTTTGTACATTGGGCCGCACAGATTAGGCAATCTTGGTTTGGACATGTAGGTGCTGTTGTAATACAAATAAATAATTCAGACTGGCTGTAACATTCAGCCTGAGTGCTGCATATAAGAAAACAGACATAGTAAAGAAATGCACTTTCTCTTTATGAAACAGGGCTGCTTTGTAAAGCAAAAAAGGCTTCTTAATAATGGGCTAGACTTTATCACTGTTCAAACTGAGCAATGATCAGAGACCTATGGTTACTTAGTATTAAAGCTAAGATTTTGTCACAGATATTTTTAGTAAAAGTCATGGACAGGTCATGGGCAATAAAGAAAAATTCATGGAGGCCTGTGACCTGTACCTGACTTTTACTAAAAAAATATCCGTGACACAGTGGGGAGCTGCAGGGCAGCTGCAGAGACTGACTGGGAGCTCTGGGGCCCCACCACCACTCATGGGAGCTCAGAGCTCCAGGGATCCCCCTCCACCCGTGGCTCTGAACTGCGGGGTACTTGGCACCGGGGGAAACCAGGAGCTGCAGGATACCCCGGCCACCCACAGTGTCTCGGAGCTGGGGGAGCCCCCTCAGCTTCTGGCTGCCGTGGGGGGCAAGAGGGACTGAAGTCAGGGAGGTCTTTGGAAGTCATGGATTCCGTGACAAAATTGTAGCCTTAATACATGTAAAATGCTCAATAGCTGAGCTAGTTAATTCAATTCATATAATGGAGCTCAAAGCAAAATCCCAGGCCTCTGATCTTGGCAAAACACCATGAGGCTATTAGGTAGCCCATCAGGCCAGATTCATAGTGGTAGAAACAATATGGAATGCTTGCAAAAGCTATGCAAAGTATCTTTGGGGGAGAACTCATTAGAATTCCATTTCAGCTGCACTTAACCTACCTTTTGTATTGGCTAACAGCTCACTTGTGCAAATATTGATTGTGAAGGACTCCAGAAGTATATAAGGCAATAATTGCCATTTCTTTAGGCATGGTGGAGGCTAAGGGGAGAAACTGGACACATTTTAACTCCCTTTACTGGGTGTGCAGCATCATCTCTCACTCCTCAGTTGTGGAGGAACAAGTCCTCCTGGGAGCAGAAGATGAGAATTCTATTTGGAAGTATATTGAAGATGCTGTGGTCTAAGGGAGACAGGAACAGCAGAAGGTTCCTAACGGTGGGGGGGGCCACCAGCACCTGAACCATGGCCCTGTCCTCCCACACCATCCCTTCTCTCTGAGGCCCTGTCCCCTGTTTGCTCCTCTCTACCCCCCAACCCCTCATTGCTCATCCTTATGGCTGGTAAAAAGTGTGGTGACCATGGTCCCCTGGCCCCTCCCCATTCCAATGCCCCTGAAGGGAGATGGGGGGGTTAGGTATGTACAGTGTTTGAGGCAAGGATGGGAGCAATATTAGCAAAACACCAATGTTGAGAAACAAGTGGAATGATTTGGCATGAGACTGAGTCGTACCTGATTCTTCAGAAAAGTATTATCTATAATATAGCGAGACCCCTGGAGTTGTTAAACAATCAGTAATAATTGAATCCTAATTGGAAAGACATGGGGTGTCAAGAGGAAATGGGTTGTATTTTGAGTTGCACTGGACTTGAATATCTTCTCTTAAAGTTCCCAGCTACTGCTTCTACCCCATATATGGAAACTGTGGTAATTTATCAGATTAGTCAGCCAGGAAATGAGCATAGAGAGAGAGAAAAAAAAATATTTTATATGTAACTGTTTGCTGATCAAAGGATGCTAATGGCTCACTTTTCATCCCTCAAATAGAAATAGATTAGTTAGTGTCAAAATTCCTTCACCTACCCTGTTTTGACATCTTTTGTGATCCTGCATGAGAGAGAATCTACAGGGAAGAGGATGGGTTTATTCCAAACTTCTGGTTAAATTTTTTCACTTCTGCTCTGGTTAAGGATTCGTAATAATTGGCTCAGATACCTTCTCAGTTCTCCAATTGTCCGCCCACATGCTGCCTTTAAGCATCAGGCCACTGGTGTATTTAAAGTTTTCGGCTCTCTTAATTTTGTGAGGACTTGCTAAGCAGGACCTCGATTTGCTTTGTGGGCAGGGTGACAGGGAGATTCCAGTGCACCTGAGAAGTGGTGATAGGCTTTTCATTATTACCATGCTATGGAAACCCTCCATTTCTAATTATGAGCATCCTCTAAAGTTGGGGAGGGTTAGCACCATTTTGGAGTTCCCCTCACATTGACTAAGACAGCTGCAGTTAGCACCACATGTACATCTTAGTCCCTCAAAACTTCTCCTTGGCTTCACCTGTTAAAAATGGCAGGTGGCCACTCACCCCAAAACTTGTTCAGCTAGGAGTTCCTGGCCACGTCTTACATAGCTAGTGGTGACGGCTTCATACCTAGAGCCCATTGTTAAGCGATTATTGTAACAGCAGAAATCTTCCAAATTCCTGTTGCACGTCCCCATCATTGGGGGTCTCTAGCTGAGTGCTGATGGTTTGCCAAACTCGGCTGCTGCTGGTGAATCTCTACTCTATGTTCAAAAAGAAAAGGAGGACTTGTGGTGCCTTAGAGACTAACAAATATATTTGAGCATAAGCATACTGTATGTTGTAGGCCTGATATTTCAGCACAGATCTACACGGTTTGGGGAACACCTCACAAGTTGTAGCTTTGCTATTCGATGACGTGTCTGGGGTTGTCTCTTCCCATTAACACATGTTGTTCTCCTCAGGAAACCTGTAGGAAGTGCCAGGGGCTATGGAAGGAGCACATGAATCTAACCTGTGAACAGCTGGCTGAGAAGGATGACATAAAATATAGAACGTCTATGTAAGTAACTTCCTGACTCTGGAAAAACTGGAAACTTATTCCAGTTTCTAATGTGGGTTAGGCAAGAAACCATCTGTGTCACTAAATTCAGTAATAAGTATTGTGTGTAGGAATACATAAAGAAAGCCCTTGTTTGTGTATTAATAAGGCCCTTGACTTTGTGTGGGTATAATTACATTCCACTGAGAGGGTTCTGGGGACATGAAAAATGAACAGGTACCCGGCTTCCGTGATAGAATATCCATGAATGATTTTCAGCAATGTAGTCCACGAGGTAAATCAAGATGATGGGAGTTTCTATACCAGAACACTGTTGATTCATTTAATCTGGCATCTTGCAGCAGTTAGTACCTGTTCATTCAGAGGAAATACTTAATACTGCATCTGGCTGGTTATGTTGTGTCATACACACAGAGGAGGGGTGCACAGAGACACTGAATAATCCTTAGTTTGTCACCAGGTCACTCATTAATGTTCAGTGCTAATTTAAACTGATAATGCAGTGCTGTTTGCCCAGGTGTCACACAAAGCTCTCTCCCCTCTGGCTTCCTCTTCTGCATAAATGGAGATGTGGACATACATTTACACACACACCTATTTTACATGCTATTACAAGCTAGGGATTATTCTGTGAAGATTTTTTCAGATCTTCATTTGAAACGCAGATGCTGAAATGTAAGGAGTTTCATAACATCTCTTTTGTGTCTGATCTTTCTCCATACAGTAGCAACAGCCAAAATATTCTGGCATCTCTGTCATTGGAGATTTTTCAGGAGCAGGTTAGACAAACACCTGTCAGGGATGGTCTAGATAATACTTACTCCTGCCTTGAGTGCAGAGGACTGGACTAGATGACCTCTTGAGGGCCCTTCCAGTCCTGTGATGCTCATTGTAGAAAGGAAGTGGGGGTTGCGATACCAAACTGCTGGTCTGGCATACTGGAAATAAAATAGTCTGCTGCTGTTAATTTGGTGTGTCTTCTCTTGGGTGTATCCCAGTCTCTAGTAATATTGTATTTTGTCATCTCTGATCTGGTATTTACTGTGCTTGGGGCAGGCAGAAATTGAGTTTCAATACTAGAATCGAACTGTGGAGGTTTTAGCATTGAGAGTCCAAGTGAAGCATCTCCATTCATCCCTTGGTACATAAATTTTCAGCAAAATATTAACTTTCATGGACATCATTCAGTATCTTTCCGCCACTCCTTTCCCAGTAGAAAAGGGGAAGTAGGAGTATTGTGACTGTCATGTCCCAAATAAGAAGGGAAAACATAGCTTTAAATCCTTTAACAGAGTTTTGCCTTCGGTAGTTGTCCAGAGGAGATTTCACATGTGAAGACAATAAAGCTTCCTGTTGAATATAAGGAAAAGGAAGCACAGCTGGAGTTCAGGCCTAGCTTCCTGCCTTGTTCGGAGTTTACAAAAATGTACAAACAGCATCCTGTTAAGAGGACGAGGGAGGAGCAGCAATCAGAGCAGATTCAGTTCCATGGACTGCTGTTTCTGTTTCTTCCTAATACAGATCCAAGTATCTGGATGAAATTCAGAGAGGTTGTGGATACTAGTTCATTAGCCACTAAACTATAAAATTTACGCTAGGTCTGAAGTTGATGTTCATTGAATTGTGAGAAATTAATGATGCCAGCGAGAGCAAGGTATATTATGGGCTGTTGCTGTAAAGCCTGTCTCCACACTGCTCTGTGAGCGCACCTCAGTACAACATAGCCTCTGCTGATGAGTTCCAGACTGCTTTGATCAGGCTGATTGTGTGCTGAACTTGTGTCCACATCACAAGTCCACTAGGATAACTAGATTGAGACACACATGCCCACTCGCCCCATGGAAATGTGTTCCATACACAGCTTGTTCCATACACAGCCTGTTCCATACACAGCCTAGCCAGCAGAGGCAAAGGAATCCATCTCTTTCAATTTCAGTGCAGCACCTCCACTCAGCTACCGTGACAGTTTCTACAGTCTCCAACCTACTGGTTTGGACTTTGCTAGCCTCTCTTTCTCCTAGGTGGCAAATTCAAGGGTTTAGCCTGGCCTAAAGCTCAGTAAGATGGATCTCATAATCAGAAATAGATTTCTCAGCCCTCGTGGTGACAGGAACTAATTGCCAAGACTTTTCCTTCCAAGTCCCACACCAAGATAATATAGTTAATGGAGCCTTTCCAGTGGATTATACCCCAAGAATTATAATCCTAGAATTATGTCCATTGTCCGCAAGCCGTCTCCCAGAGGGATGGGTTGTGCAGTGCCATTGTTAGAACTAAACACTTCCAGATAATGTTCTGGATTCCAGCTTGTATTCCGTGCTATAATAAAGCCTATGTGCATATCTTTGAACAGTAACATCTAGAGAGTCTGTGTGGGAATGGGGGCAGACTTGAGGGATAAAATGCCCATTTTCCATAGGAAAGACTTGATTTTTCTTTAATTTCTGGTGAATAAAAAAAGTAATGTCAAAAAAATCTCATGCCTAGCCGACTAAAAATTGAAAAATATGTTCATGGCAACTTGGTAACCAAAGCAACAGCCAGACACAAGAGCTGTAGTTCGTGAATGACATTACACAGTTTGCTTTCCCTGCACCTTTATCTCCTTGACTATATTTCTGTGCAGCCCAAGTCAAGAATCATGTGCCCTTTGACTTTGGTTTGAAATTCTTTCCAAGCCAGAGCTTAGCCCTGCTGCATTTTGGCTCACTTGGAAACCAGATTTAAGCCTGTAGAATGTGACCAGTGATTAAATTCCTTTCACTTAATTTGTTTTCTACTCATCAAGGATCGACTCCAAATGGAGTTCAGCCCAGACCTCCTTGGAACAACACAAGGCTTTAGAGACGAAGTAGGGAGAAACAGGACTGTCTAAGAAGTGAGGGGGAAATTAGGAAAAGTGCTATTGAGAGAGGTGGGTTCTCGTTACTCACGCTGAGAATAGGCAAAGCAAACATAGCAATTCCGACTTCTTCCCTTTTACCCCTCTTATGTTGCAGAGAAGAAAAAATGACTGCAGCCCGAATTAGAAAATGCCATAAGTGTGGGACTGGCCTAATTAAATCTGAGGGTTGCAACCGCATGTCCTGTCGTTGTGGTGCCCAAATGTGCTACCTCTGCCGAGCCTCCATTAATGGGTATGACCACTTCTGCCAACACCCTCGATCACCAGGGGCCCCTTGCCAGGATTGTGCAAAATGCTCTCTCTGGACTGACCCCACGGTAAGTGATTAACAAATCATGGAATATTGCAATCACTGTTGAGTGATAATGCCTTGTGTTAGGAGCTCTCCACTGTATGAGCTCTGTTTACAGATCAGCATAGGTGCAGGTTTAAGACAGCACAACAGTTTCCTTTCATCAGGGCCAGCCAAATTGCTTTGGTAAAGGACCCCAGCACTCCCTTTAACAAAGAAAAAACTGAAAGACTTCTTGTAAAGATGGTTCTCCAGTCGGGAATGCTAAGAACAATGATCATGGCATCTGGGTAGCGGGACAGGCATGCAGCAAGAAGGAGTGAGAAGTATATGTAGTAGTTAGAGCAGAGGATGGGAGTTTGGATTCCAGGGATTTATTCCCAGTTCTGTGTCCGACTCATTGTTTGTTTGACTTTTGGGGAAATCATTTGTTCTCTGTGCTTGATTACCAATCAGATGTGGGTATTGTGACTCTGGGTGGGGATGGATGAATGAATGTTTGTTTGTAAAGTGCCTGAAAGTCAAAGGTACAAAGTTACTGGTATAATGTATCAGTTATGTCCACTCTTGCTGCTTTTGGCAGTGCTTAGACTGAGAAGGACTGAAGCGTAGCTTTAACCTGTGGAGAAGGCTATAATAGGTATAATAATCAGGGAAGTCACGTTCCTGAAGATTTTCAGTTGTACAAAGCCAGAAAATGGGATGGGGCAGAAGAAGGGAGTTGAGAGCTTCCTGCTACCAGGAAGCAGCCTTCAAACAGCAAAGCTGCAAGCTGGTTTTCCCCAGTACTTGCTTGAGCTTGACTGGTTCAGACTCTTCACCCTTGAAGGAGTAGCCACACTAGGTGCACAGTGGGTTACCAGAGCTTCACTGGTTCATCTTTACGCAGGGAATGCATGCACCTCTTTGACTTCCTTACTCTGTGAACTGCCCTGAGTTGCTGCCATCCTTTAGGTGAACACTAGACTGGCATCCCCACAGTCCCTCCCCTCGCCCTGCAGGCTCTCAAGAGTTTTTAAAGAATTCTGAACCCAGCTAGGTTCAATCGCTGGTTTAAACCCCCATCCCCCCCAAGAGTTGCCTTTTCCCTGATTTCTCCCAGCACTGAATAGTTGTTGCCCAGAACAAAGCCAGACCGTGAGCTAACTACACCTTTTCCCCATGCCACAGCCAAAGTACTTCTGATGCCCATTCCTTCGGTGTCCAAACAGTCTAATTCCACTGTTCCGTTCCCCAGCGGGACCTGATTCCGCAAGTCAGGAACAGTAGCGCTTCCTCGTTCCAACAAGGCTGCTGATTGTATTCAGCAATGACATCTCTGCAGAGTTGGGGAGAACACGAGGGCATTCAAAAAGCTCATACTGTACTTAAAATAAAACAAAGACTATACTGTCATCCAGCCCTCTTCCTCTGGTTAATTAACCAATGTGGCAAAGCAAAATTTCCCACTCTCAGCTGGGAGGTGACACTGCCAACTTCCTTGGATGACAAAGCGTTGGCTAGCCGAGGAGCTGAAGCTGGCTGAGTTCTCTATTCCGTGTGTACAGGGGTGCCATGAAACACGTGGGACAGTGTAGGCTTTTAAGCTGAAATTGTAAATGGATCTTTGGTGTATTAACTCTTTTTTTTAAAAAAAAAAGTTTCAAAGAGAATAGGTGAAAGGGTTTAGGGCAGCTAATTCAGCCGTGCCCCAGCTCTGTTCTAGCATGGGGAGTTTGGTGGAGGGGAAAGAACAATACAGAGAAAGTAACCCAAGGTCAAGAAATGCAAGATGCAAAGTGAGTTGTGTATCTCATAAGGGGAAATCGAGAGAGGCAGAAGAACATCAGGAACCCTATCCGGCTTCTATCCTCTGTCTTGGTGGAGACATCATTTCGGTGAATTGGTACCCTGCTCAGCACTGTGCCCCCTTGCTCCATGTCTGGGCACCATTGTCATTTGTGTGTCCCTTTCACCCCTTTTCTGTGTAATCCTTTTTATTTTTTTTCTTTCCTTTCTAACCCTCTTTATTCCTTAATCAACAGAAGGCTCCATGCTGCTTGGTATGGAGTTGGGGTGTCCATGATTGGATCTGTAGGACTGTATCATGTGCCCTTGTTAGCAAACTTCGTGCTAAGGCTACAGAGAAGAAATGCTTGAGCCACTCAGCTGCTTCCTGAATCTGCAGCCCTGTACATGCGAGCAGCTCCTGCCTAGCTGTCAGTATTAGGGAGTGCTGCAATCATGAAATGGATGTGTGCATTCAAGTGTGGCTTTTATTAGAGGCAGGGCAGATCTAGAAGCAAGCTGCTTTCTCCACCTTCACTGCTCCTTTTTTGTCTATAAATGTACACCCTGGACTAGTTCAGCATCTCCCTTTCCCCCACTACTTAGGTTGGGGAAACAGAGTTACCACATTCTGGTTGTCTTATTAACAGAGCAAGAAATGGTAGCTATGGTGCAGGAGTCCACCTTGCTCATTTTTTTTCATGAATATGCATTTTAACTTGCTGTTACATTTTGGGATGATGGATAGCCTTGGTGAAGAATCCATTATGGAAGCGTTGGTAGAGACCCTATAGTTCAGACCAATTTCTGTTTTGCCCTTAGAGCCAGGCATGTAACCTCTGTTTTGCATGAAAAATACCATGTATCCTTCCCCAAACTTTGAACACTCACTCTGAGTCTAGAATGAGTCTTCTGAGACTATACAAATGAATCTGTTAATCAGTTTGTTAAAAATTAATTAAAAACTGAGTCCTTTAAAACATTTAGCATTTTCATTCTTTGTCCCAAATGATCTTACCAGAATAATGCAGGCACTTAAATCTTTCTATATAATACAACTAATTTAAATCTGGTCCATAGGCAATATTTTAAAAGATTAAGTTGTAACTAAGCTAAGTTATTAGTGATTGTATCTAATGGTTATGGTTATATAAGCTACAGACAAGCTCAGGCAACTACTAAGTGGGGCCATTGTGACATATGGGATAATTTAACCAATTATCACCTCTGCAGCTAATTTGCATTCAGTAATTCTGTTGGTTGTCATGAGTTAAGGATATGAGGGAGACTGGACTCACATGCTGACAGCTCTCATTGGTAAACTGCTTGGCCCAGCTGTCACTTCAGATATTCTGTGGCCACATGCTAGCTTGAAAGGCTTTCCATGACACTGCAGCCCCAATTCCATTGCACACTTAGGCAGTGCTGCTGGGGGAGTCCTTTAAAGCATAGAGACTTTGGGACTCTCGTTCCCTGTCCCCCGTCACACATTGCTGGTCTCACTAAGGCCACCCTCTAAGCCCATAAATCAGTTGCAGATTAAGGGCCAGATTTTACCAGTATGCTCAGCTGGTCTGTGCTGAACTGGTGATGAGACACAGCTGTCAACCCTAATGACTCAGGCAGTTTGACTGTTTTGGTGAACCAGTGAATCTGCCCTTAGAAGTTTAAAAATTTAAAAATATTTGTTTAATATTACCTGTCTTCAAATTATTGGAAATATTGCATGGTAGCCTTCATGTTGAGTTTCTTGTTTAGGGTTTATGACATTGTAAAACACTTAGGAAATTCCCAAACAAACTAAGTTAAGCTGAAGTTAAATTTGAGAGTATGCTTGAGTAACTTAAGGCAAAAATCATTCCACAGATGTTACAGTTATCCCAAAATCAAGCATTGTAAACAGAGGAAATTCAGAGTTAAGCTTATACATAAAAGAACTCCAGACATGTTAAGGTAAGAAATGTACAATTAAGGCACTCAAACAACTTTAACTCTGCTCATAGGGGTGGGCGTGAGGACTCACTCTAGAAACCAGTTTAGTCTAATGTGGGACCACAAACTCTAAAATGCCTTAGTCATAATACTGTGGTTATTACATATAATCCACTCAGGCCCCTTAAAACTGAATGGTTGTTATTTTAATAACTCTGCATCTCTTTGTGACAAATCTGAGGAACTGTTGGAGGTTTTGGAACAAATTGATAAACCAAACAGTAGTAAGTCACCAGGACCAGATGGTATTCACCCAAGAGGTCTGAAGAAACTCAAATATGAAATTCCAGAACTACTAACTGTGGTATGTAACCTGTTGCTTAAATCAGCCTCTGTACCAGATGACTGGTGGATAGCTAATGTGATGCCAGTTTTTTCAAAAGGGCTGTAGAGGTGATCCTGGCAATTACAGACTGGTAAATCTGACTTCAGTGCCTGGCAAATTGTTTGAAACTGTAGTAAAGAACAGAATTATCAGACACATAGATGAACGTGGTATGTTGGGGAAGGGTCAACACGGCTTCTGTAAAAGGAAATCATGCCTCTCCAATCTATGAAAATTCTTGGAGGGTGTCTCTCAATGCACTGTCCACCTGTGGAACTTGTTGCAAGGAGATGTTAGGAAGGCTAAAAGTATAACTGGGTTCAAAAAAGAATTAGATAAGTTCATGGAGGATAGGTCCGTCCATGACTATTAGTCAAGATAGTCAGAGACACAACCCCATGTTCTGGGTATCCCTAAACACCTGACTGCTAGAAGCTGGGCCTGGATGATAGGGGGTGGATCACTTGATAAAGTGCCTTGTTCTGTTCACTCCTTCTGAAGCATCTGGCAGTGGTCACTGTCCGAAGACTGCATACTGGGCTAGATGGACCATGGATCTGATACACTATGGCTGTTACGTTCTTATGCCAATGTGTTCTCTAGCAGCACCCCCCTCTTCCTGCAGTACTGTGTCTCCCCTACCCCATTTATGACACAGAGCTGCCTTTATCCCCCTTTCCTGTTGCATGAAGGAACACACAAGAAATAGTCTGCGTCTGGTGCTCCTCAGGCTCTCCACAGCTGATCTGGGAATGATTTGAAACAAAACCTTTAATCCTTTGGCAGTCTCTTTCATGAAATCATTTCAAGTTTATTAATAACGGCTGTGGCCACACATACATGGAAAAAAGAGAGCATTAAACAGCCCAGAAAGGGAGGCCCTCGTGGATAAACCCATTCAGAGTTATTTTTCTAAAGCAAAAAAACTCAACCCAGAAACA